CATTATTCTATTTTTTAGAACATAAGAATTATTCAAAAGTATTCAGTGTCATAACTACATATTTGACGTTTATAATAAATCAAACCGTTTGAAAATCGGTTAAAAATTGAGCACGTTATGGCTATTTAAAAATTACATGTTTTACTATCAACACAATATTTTGGGTGAGCGAGCAGCCTGTGGTAAGATGGCCGCCATATGCGGACGTTCGACTCCGTTGGGCAGCAACGCAGACGAGACATCTAGTCATTCTATATATATATCTATGCTAATAACTACCATTAAGGTGAGCAGGGTTTAGTGACAGTTAATTAGTTTTACTGACAGTTAGTTTAGTGACAATGGTGTGGTACATGTTTGTATGAGAAAATAAACTGAAATATGATGCAACCAGGACAGGGACAGAACGTTAATATATTACAACTTTACACAAAACATTTACCAGGACACTGGAGAAAATGTCATGGTTTGAATTATGATACTGTATCATTAGCTGTTTAAAGACACAAACATACCATCAGTCACCATGGTTACCAACACTGTATGCTGTGTACTGTTCTCTGTAATTGGCACAAACAGGCTGACTTTACAGAGGAACCACATTTGTGATGTGTGATTATATTTTGGGAAGTGTTATGCCATCAGGCTGATTGTGGAATTCAGTCTGACTGCCCCAGCTCAGTTTGCAAATGCATTTCAATTTTTGGCAATTATACACGTTGGACATAAAGCTGAGCACCCACAAAAAAATTAAGGTGCATGACACCCCGGCATGAAAGGAACTAGTCCAAACACAGGGAGAACATGCAAACAGCACATGTGTGAACTTATAAAAAGACTTACTTATGGATGAAACCACAATGACCAGAAATATAATTCCAGTTATTCCAACTACATAGTCGAGTATTTTTCCTCTATTTTCTCTGTCTTTGGAATATTTTGTCCAAACCACAATGTGGACAGCTGAAAAGAGAAGAGAATAGCGTTAGTCACCATAAAATTCATGTCAAACAGAGAATATAAAACAAACATTTTTGTTTTGGATGATCCATGTGGGGAAATTCTTTTTTGCCCAGCCCATCATGCTCTCCACGAAAACAAACTTGGCAGTGAAGAGCTGCCACCCGCAGTGGTGCCCAGGGAGCTGGGAGTTAAGGCCCACAGATCTGCTAAGGCCGGATTTGAATGGGTGACCTTCCAATCACAGGCACAGAGGGTCAGCTCAGTGAGCCACACACTGCCATCAAAGGGAATAAATCCCCATGAGCAAATGCAAACAGCACACAGACACAGAGGAGGGGGGCCACCATGCTGCCCCATGGATACAGATTAACAGTGAACAAAACAGATATTATTCAAATTTAAATGATGTAAATCATTACACATTTCTATAAAAACAAGGTAGAAAAAAATAAAACTATGCCTAATTCTGATTCAATATTCATGAAATCCATTTATAAACTTACTTACTTTGGACTATAATCAAAAAGATGATTCCACCCAACATGCCTCCAAATGTTGCTTTCTCAGCTGGAGATGGGGAATCTTTTGCTGAAAACTCAATGAAAGACCCTAAAATGAGGAATGAGGTAATAATAGTCAGTCAACAAATAATTAACGTCAGACACAAGATAAAACAAATGCATTTAGTGGTTCATTTATGTATCAGATGCTTTTGTCTAAAGTAATGTGCAAGTAACTATCAGAGAGCAGGATCAGCCTGCGGTTAAGTTCTAACCCATAGAGCCACAGAGGTTAGGAAGCAGATTAATAAGGGTCATAAAAAGTCAGTGAGGGTGTTTGGCTGGGAGACATTATTCATCCTAAATCATGCTTCCTAACAGCTATAAAGCCAAACTGCCCCTAGCCCAAACAGACAGCTAAACACCTGTCTAAAGGTAAACAGGCTGAGCTTCTCGCAGGCCTTGGGCTGGGAAACTTCAGATTACAGGTCCTTGTCTTACCCATCATGCTAAGGACCGTCCCTCTTAGCTGGGTTACTGCATGGGGGAGTAAGCAGGGGATTCAGGGGGGAATCGAGCTCTGATTTAAAGGTATTTTAAAACCTGAGGTGCTGAGAGAAACAAAATCTCTGTACAGTAATGAGGTGAAAAATGAGCAGTTTGTGCTAAAACACTGAAGTATGTTTGGCATCTTCAAAGATGCACCACAGTGTGTTTAATATTTTACCAGGAACTGCTGCTTTATTCTGCTTTAATGTTTCTTATACAACAGTTACTTCCAACTAAGAAATCTGACTGGACAAGTGGTGTTCTATGAGTGTTGTTATCAGAGTACAACCACACTCAGACATTTCGCATAAGATATATCACTCTGCTTTACAGGTGTATCTAGGGCTGGGCGATATCATATATTATATCGTGCATGCGCAATAATCACCACCCTGGTCAGGTGACAGAGGAAGCATTTGTCCGTATAGCACCGAAAAGCTGGCGCATGGCAAAATGTTGCTGTCATCTGAAGCCCTAGCGATTATTGCGCATGCGTGATATAATATCGATATGATATCGCCCAGTCCTAGGTGTATCTAAAAACCATTACTTAATCACTTTGGAGTCGCCGATTCCCCCACGGGACCAAACTGAAATCTTGCCAAACCATCTAAAACAAACTATGATTTTAAGTTTGGTCATAACAACATTAAAAACAACACCCCCAGAAATGTATGCAGGAAGAAACTGAGTATATTTGTAGAGCCTTGTAAGCAGAACAAAAAGAACAAGATTCACATGAGTACCTGAGTCTCGAAGCAGTCCACCCATTTGCAAATAGCGATATCCATATGATAATGATAAAATAATCCTACAGTTGTTACTGGGTCAAGAAAACACGTGAAAACTCCCATAAACAAGAGCACATGTCTGGTTTCTGTTTACACTGACTGAGGAGCTGCAGCCTTTTATTTTATGATGTGAAAGTGTTTTCACTGAGGAAATATGATAAAAATCTTTTCAATTCATGGGTTACTGCGAATTCAAGGGGATCAGTGACTGTAAATTTCACTTTTCTGTAAATTTCACTACTGTAAAACTTATATTATAAATTATAAATTATAAATATATGTAATTCATTGGTAACTAGGCTGTTCCTTTAGTGGTTTTCACTAGGTTTATGAGACTTTTTTGCAAGTATAAGACAACAAAGCAAATCATTTTATTTAACATTATGTTTCTCAAAATACATGTTGTAAATGTAAAATATAGTATAGATTATATTTGCTGAAAATAAGGTATCTTATTTGAAATATTAATTTTTGCACTAAATACACCTGTATAACAAAGAAATTATACAACTTACGTGTCCTCTGTTCATTCAAAAATGGAAGCAACTTACATTTGAAACCTGAATGGTTTCAGCTATCTAAGTTGCTAATGGGATCTATTGGTAAATGTGGCCCAGTTCAGCAGTAAAATCTGAATATATTTTGTAACTTATTATATGATGCAAAGTAGTTGGGTAAGTGTTTGGCTGCAGTGACCAGTTTACTGGAACTATTTATTTATTTATTTTTGTGAAGGCCCATAAATGTTTAAATAAATAATCAAGCAAAGTATTATTTGTTGTGGCTTATTATTGTTACCTTATAAATGCCATTCGATGAACTGTTGCACAAAAGCAATAACATACTCAAAGCAGTGCTGTTGTATTCCAATATCTTACAGCTGTGATTGTCTTTGGCACTCTGCCTGCAGCCCTGTGCCTACGACCAAATCACAGCTGTGATATATTGGAGTACAGCCACACTCCTTCTTGTATGTTATTGCTTAAATATCCACTGATTACACCTTAACTTACCTGTTAGTGCACCCACTATAATGATGGGAAATGCAGTTGACAGAGAGAGGAGTATAATAAACCGCCATGTATCTGCAAAATTAAAACAAGAGTTACTTTAAATATAAATTTTAAATGGGATAATTTAATATATGTTGCATTCATTCCACACCGTAAAAAAATATGTTCAGCCAACTCAAAAATTCAAGGCAACATGCTGCAATACATTTTTGAGTTAAGTCAAACAGAGGTTCAGCTAACTTTGACTTAAGAGTTAAGGCAACACTGTAATACAAGTTAGATTAACCTAGGTACAAAGTTTCAATAAACTTAGATTGTTAAATCTAAACCCACTTTTTTTCAGTGGGTTCTAATGGTAATATAAGTTTTTTAGTACTCTAAACAAGGCAACTTGAAATATTAAAAAAAAGTTAAAGAAAACATTAACTCTTAAAATGTCACCTAAACAAGGCAGGTTTATTTAAATTTAATTTGACGACTCAAACAAAGTTGACTAAACCTCTGTACCTATGTTAATCGAACTTGCAAAATAGTGTTGACAATTTAACAATCTAAGTTTGTTGAAACTTTGTACCAACACAGCAAATTTGCCAGTGTTAAAGTAACACTGCATGGTGTTTATATAATTTTCACCAAATCAGTGTTACATTTAAAACTTTACAGAGTGCAATGAGTGTTGTTTTATAGTGTTACATTTTATTAGCTCTTATAGTGTTCAGTTGACACCATAGAGTGTTAGATCATTGTAACTCCACCTCTTCCCAGATTCCAAGCCCATATAGGTGGCACACAGGTGCATAATGGGTGGTCCCTATCTGGCCCATTTTAATGTGCATATACGAACTCATTTGAGAATCATAAGAGCCACCGTGATTTACCAACCATCATGAGAAAGACTCTGACCAAGAAAGACTTCTCAGCCTTTACTTAATATATATGAAAATTTGTTCAGATTAGTGCTGTTTTTTTTTTTTAAGATCAGAGCTCTGTGTGCTAAGACGTTAAACAAAGCCTTGCTTTTCCTGACTTTTTCTTGCGTATGATTTTTAAATTAGAAAAAAAGATATTTGTGTATATTTTAATGGTGGGTGTGGTGTATTTGTGGATGTAAGCCGATTTTGGTTACCTGTTCTAACCTTGGCTGATGGGTTTTGTATATGGAAATGTGTTACGAGAGTTGTGACACCCTTTGCTATGCAGCTCCTGGTACTGCCCACTTCCCTGTAAACCATTGATGTTGGATGTTTATTTGCATACCATGATATTGTACAGCCTTTTAAGAGATTTTTTATTTTTTTTTATCCACCATAATGGTATTAAATAAGGCATGTATAAGAAACCTTGCTCTAAGGATCTGAAGGCTTTCCGAGAGAAATGCCATGATGAGGCAAATGTTAAAGGATGACAAATCGGAGCTAAACTATCTTCCAAGAAGAATATCCCATTCACATATTTGAAATGAAACCAATCAAAACTCACACCTACCACAGTCACTATACTACTCAGACCACCTGGCATACATGAACTCAAGCATAGAAAAAGGCCTGGATTCATAATGCTAAAATATGATAGACTAATATCCATGACATACCATCCTAGAACACAGATTGTTCTAAAATTGCACTAGGGGAGCTCTCACCTTCTCTCAGCCCTGCTAAGTAATTATGTTATGCATTCTAACAAGCTTTATTATCTGTGTCAATAAGCACTGCTTTTACACTAACATTCCTGCTGAGAGGCTAGTTTGATTACCAGTCTTGGCCTTGTCATTAGGAACACATGACAATTTGCACAGTGCTGTTTCACATTGGATTCTCACTGGTTTTCCCCAAGACTGGTAACACACATTTTATTCAGTTTCATACCACAGGTGATTGCAAGAGAGCTCAATTGGTTTACTCTTATACTGGTACAAGAAAACTATTTCATATGTTAAAAAAGAAACTAATAATACATTTTTAAACATTATTTCTCTAACTCAATCCTGACTTTGATGCACAAATAAGACAAAAGTCAGAAAAAACAAACGTGTTAATCTTACATGAACACAGGGGGATGGTTTCCAGAAAAATAAATGTAACAATCGACAAGGTCTTGTTGGTCATAGTCTTTCTTATGATGGTGGGTTAATCAAACACGGTAGCTGGCTGCCCCAGACATAAGCCACCCATTATTTACCTGGGTGCCACCTATATGGGCTTGGAATCTGTGAAGAGGTGGAGTTTCAGTGATGTAACACTCTATGGTGTCAACTGAACACTATAAGCGCTAATAAAATTTAACACTATACAAAAACACTCATTGCAGTGATAAATGTAACACTGATTTGTTGAGAATTATATAAACACCATGCATTGTTAATTTAACACTGGCAAATTTGCTGTATAGGTTAATCTAACTTGTATTACAGTGTTGCCTTAACTCTTAAGTCAAAGTTAGCTGAACCTCTGTCTATAGGTTTGTTGAACTTTTGTAACTGAGTTGACAACTCAAAAATGTATTGCGGCATGTTGCCTTGAATTTTTGAGTTGGCTGAACATTTTTTTTTTTACAGTGTATGCTTCTGCCCAAGCAGTTCCTTCATGAACTTGAAGGGCTTGGTGATAAATGCAGTGCTTTCAGGCTCTTTCATGTTGTTGTCTCCAAGGCCACTCTGCCCAGCGGAGGACCCTGATCTTCTTGAGTAGGATGTACATCAGCTGAGCCAAGCCACTGTGGTTCTCTTCTTTTGCCTGTTTGTATTGGGACCTGAAGGTTTTCATCTCCTGCCAGATACTATGAATCTTCACTGCTCTTTGGTTCTTTACATATGGTCCTTTGGAAGCTCTCGGCTGCTTCTCTCCAAACTGCTCTGACACAATGCTGACAATGATCGCTGTCTTGGTCAAATTAACTCCGAACACCCGTCATTATTTAACAGTTGATTTGAAAGCACCTTTTTTCAAACAGGGACAACCTACTTTAATTTTATGTGTAGGAAACATGGAAACATACCTGTAAATAATTTCCGATACGGAGCCATATAAAACAACACCAGGATATACAGCAGACTGACGGTAGGACAAGTAACAGCCTCTTCTGTGGATCCTGGGAAACAGTTAACATTGTGTTTTTTTATTTATTTAGCAAACCTTTTTACGGAGCCCCTTATAGAGCACCGTAAGGGACATAGGTGATAAAAAAAATGTTTTACCATATCTGGTGCCCACTAGATACTAAGTGGTGCCCACCAGATACTAAGTGGTTCTCACCAGATACTAAGTGGTGCGCACCAGATACGGTAAAAAATATATAAATCACCTATGTCCCCTTTTTATCCAAAGTGACTTTTTTTTTTTTTAACAGAAAGCAGATTAAGAAAATATCTGGAGCTATTGAAAGTTAAGGGCCATGCTCAAGGGCTCATGTGTAAAATCACTTTGTCAAGTCTGGGATTTAAGTCAGTGACCTTCCAATTACAAGCACCGCATCCTAACCTGATGAGCTGCACACAACCCTGAGGAATTACTGATAAAATTGAGGGAATCCTTTTCTCTTACAGTATTTATGTGGGCAGCCATAGAATTGTTCCCCAGGTCTGAATGCAGCACTAGGATCCCCGTTTTTCCTGTTTAAATTTCTTTACTTCTCACAACTTCCTTCCTTCTACTCTGCCGAACTTTACATTGGATTTCATGTTATCCATCATTTCATTATTCATTGATAGCATAAAATTCTATAATTAGTCACCAGGGGGTGCTGCCTCTGCTGTTGTTAATTACATCTTTATTTCATCACAGTGTGTTTAATGATCTCCCTATACTATAAATTTGCCTCTTTTTAAAGCATTATTTAACTGATATTCAATGGGCTCACCTTCAGTTACACCCCACAGGATGAAGGCTGTGGAAACCATGATTGGTGGAATTGTGACATGTGAACCGTGACTCAATAGAGCCTGTTTGCTTTTATCTATGGAGAGAAAGTAGAACCAAATTTAACCATATGCTGTTTAAAATTAGATGATGGTTCATGCAAAGTTTAATGATCTACAGCCATCCTCTGCTGCATGCTCACCTACAGACACCCAGTACAGACTGTCAGTCTCACTAGATGCAGCTCCTGCTTTAATTTTAGTATAATTTCTATGAGGACATCAGCTTTGGTTCATTGTTTTGGTTTGCTGGGGTTTACAGTGATAAGACTTTCTGAAATGATTCATATTCACATATATGTGTTTGTTACCAGAGACACAGGATCAAAGCATGTTAATTATGTCACAGTTAAGCCTTGCAATGGACAGGTACCCTGTGTAGATACAGTCCTGCCTGATGCCCCATGTCTGCTGAGATAGATAGATGCTTTATTGTCATTGTAAGTACAGTAAGATTTAGTTTGGAACACGCCAGCAGATGCACAGTATATTTACAATTAAATAGATTCAAGGCATAAATAGAGTGGGATAGTATGTACAGTCACTATATACTGTATGTACAATATATATATATACAATAAGGTGCTTGTAAGTAAGTTCGCGTAGGTAGTTTTGAAGTGGACTAAATGCACATAAATATGGAAATTGCACATGTGGGGTACTGCTTCAGAATGTTTGAGATCAGTGCTGTGAGTTCAGAAGTGTGATGGATGTGGGGTAAAAACTGTTCCTCAGCCGGGTTGTGCGTGCGATGCCCTCTACAGGATAAGTGGCTGCAAACATGGATCCACTGATGTCATTAAAATTACTAGAAATGACAGAGCAGATGCTACACTTACCTCCCCTTATTAAATGCCTGACAGATAATGCACCAGTAAGTAGGACTACAGGTGTGACAGCGATGCACAGCCCCAGAATCAGCCAATGCAGGGATGAATAACCTAAAATATTCAGAATTACATTCCATTAGTCATTTTCTAAAATAGGCTGTTTGTCATGCTGCAGCATAATCAACACGTCCACACATTTAGTCTCACAAAGTGGAGCAGAAATTTATGAACAAATCTTTGTCCATAAGTGTGACAACATGTCATAGAGCTGTCTAATTGTATTACCCAGTCACATTATGTTATGTGCAATTAAAACACCATGTTATTACTGCATTTTTCCCAGTCACACTCTCATGGTCTCCATAGATCCTAAATGAATATTAATAATAAAACCATACTTATATATTCACTGCATCACTCTAATAAAATGTACCTGTTATGATAGAGCTGAACACTGCACTAAAGCTGAAGCCTGAAACAAATTTTCATTCATTCATTTTATGTATTCTGTGCCTTTAAAACTGAACTAAATTTGACCCTTTCTACTGTTATACTGAGCAGATTAAACACTATGGCATTTGCATAAAGATCAGTCTGCAGCAGAACCACTGAGGCTTAGCGGAATGAAAATGTGATTTAATGACACAAAACTATGCTGAGATGCATGTTAAAACCAGTCCTTCCAGTGACTCACCCAGTGCTGCTATCCTGGCAGTTGTATTGGCAGAATCAGTATCTGAGTGGACTTCACACCTGAACTCTCCTGTGTCTTCAGTCTTCACATTCCTCAGTTTCATTGAGAAGTTTCCTTTGGGAATTCCCTCAGTGAAGAATTCAGCTCTTCCAGAGTATCTTCCATCCTGTGACTCTGGTCTGTTCTCTCCATTATCATACAAAAGGACTAAGATGTCATCGTCATCTGTCTTTATCCATTTCACCTGAAGCTCTGTCCGATTAACATGGGTGTCCACAGAGCAGCTGAGAGTCACCTCCTCTCCCACATGTGCATAGACAGGCTCATCTGTACCCGTCACCACCAGCCGCTCTGGAACAAGAACAGGAAGATTCACACAACCTGGCAACCTGGCATTTTGTGTTTTCCCCTCGTATTCAAGGAGGAAACGTAGGTATTTTTGTTTGTTTGTTTCTCAGCAGAAGAATGAAGTGTTACACCAAGTCCCAAAAACCTGAAAAGTACAGTCTGCTTTGGATTTTGCCGGCAATAGCATTGGTTTGGAAAATCCCGTGAAAATACCACGTACTGCAGTATCCTGTAATTCGCCTGGAATTCAAATGGAGTCCCCTGAAATGTCTAGTACTTGATAAAAAAAAAAATTACTGATAAAAATATTTTTCAACTAATTATTATTCTTTTAAAAATTATGATTAAAACACCACGTACAATTAGAGGGGGGCGATACATCGGTTTTATTGATTAATTCAAATTTACAGTTCAGGACGATTGTGTTTTTATGAAAATCGATTTTATTACTTATTTTACACGCGAGCGCCGAAAGCGGAACTAATGCAACGCACCGTTCTTCACGGGTAAATTATCACGCCGCACCCAAACACTGTAGCAGATTCACGAACAACATGGCAACGACAGGGGAAAAGTTGGAGCTTGTGCCCAAGAAAGGTGTTGCTACATCTATAATATGGAATTGGTTCGGTTTTGCGCCGTCAGACACAGACCAAACAAGTCCTCGTTGCAAAGTCTGTTTAAAAACTTTTGCAACCAAAGGAAGCAGCAGGACAAATTTATTCCAGCACCTAAAGCAGAGGCACGCAGAGGAGTGGGACGAGTGCAGCACCCAGAGAATTGAAAATAGCCGCAGCACCAGCACAACATGAGGGATAGCCAGCATGGATTTAGGAGAGTTTTTTGAGGAAGCTACTCAGGAAGTTGATGATAAGAAGGCCTATGATGTCATCTACTTAGATTTCCAAAAAGGCTTTTGATGTTGTCCCCCACAAGAGGCTCTCACTTAAACTCAAAG